CAGAGTCAGTACATAATTCCTAGGTTGCATTAGTATGGCGAACTTGAGTGAACCATGGACGATGAATATACAGCAAAGCTATACCACAAGGCCATTAACATCACAACATTGCTCAGACAGAGGTCACTCAACGAGCCAAGCGATACTGAAGTGCGATGCAAGCTCGTATCCATACGGAGGGAGTTCTATAACTTTCATGATCCGGAGACGGAACAAAGTTGAAAGAAGCTGGGCAGGCCAACTGCCTCGCTTTGCGATCGAATTCCAAGACAAAGGCATAGCTTGACGGTCGTACTGATGCTATTTCTTCCAGGATGGGGACGAACAGCTCCTTCACGGTGGAATACTGCCACTGCCAGACTGCAAACACAGTCAATCACCGATTAAACTCTACCAATACGTGCTACGTACATCCCGGTTGAATCTTTTCGTGATTGTCCATGGTTTGTTCTTCGTCCGTTGGGAGCTCGCAGTCGACGAACGCCGCAGCTATCGTCGGAGGACGTCCTACATACAGGCTCTATAAATTTGAAGTTATATTACTAGCATCAGTTACTTCTGATTACGCGTGGACATACCAATAGTATGTCGGCTCGGTATATCTCCCAGAAGACGTATCTACGCCTCTGTATGTGTTTTGGCTCCAAACCCCATCGCGCACAGTCGCGATCTGCAAATATGCTTGAATACTGGACATGGCATAAGTTCCATGACACTCACGTAGTCCGATCTGCAAGATCAGACTCATGACTAAATGATATCAGTAAGCAGCGAGGAAACGTACGCTTTGTGCAAGTCTCAGACAGTTAGATAGGATTGACCATGTAGATTCCACTGTATGCCGCCTGCCAGATTGACTGAAGAAATGTGCCAACAAGGCCATCGCCTGCACAGTCTCGATAGCGGGCGAATCCTTCACTGTTCTCAATAGCAGAGCGTTCTTGCCTAGCACGGCGTACCACCACGCTTCCTTGTTGTACGGCTGCTGGGTCAGGTCCATGAGAGAGCCCAACGCAAACAATAGATAAAGCACAGCGAATTTGTGAGGGCTGTGCGCTACAACACTGCCAGATTCCGGCTTTTCTCGAAGAGCTGTGTAGATTGGTGTCATGAAATCGTTCACGAATTCTTCGCGCTTGACCGGCCGGTGGTGTAAGGCACCATGTTCGTAATACGCCTCGCAGAGAGACCATGCACGTGTAACGGGAGGCAAGGATTCTTCTAGGCGCCGTAGAACCTGTTGCGCGTCCGAATGGTATTTGTCAAGTGAAGCGACTAACGCCGGGAAGTCATCCATTTCCTCAGGCACGACGTGGTCGTAGGCAGAGTCGTGTGACTATGTCAAGACACTCTGCTGAATGCTGCGTGCAGGGAATAGAAATAGGATCCACTCACATGCAGTAGTGACTAGGCAGCCGTAAGCGAATAAACGGGCAGATCAAGAATGACAGTCATACCTCAGACCCAGCAGATTGTCCAAAATATCTGGCCTCGCCGTGTTCACCAATACT